CAATCACAAGTCCTAATCTGAATGCACAATGTCTTAGAAATTTGTGCTGAATCTGTTCAATAGTTGCTTTGTGAACTGCATGATATGGTGACCATACTACTGAAGCATATTCCAGCTTCGAACGCACCAAAGAACAATAGACACTCCTAGCAGTTTCAAGTGAAAAGTTTTTACAGTGTCTTAAAACGAAACCCAATAGTTTAGACGAACTCACTGTGAGATTGTGAATGTGACCTACAAAACTCAAACTTTCATCAAATAATACCCCCAAATCTTTAACCTTGGAGACATAAGTCAGAGTTTCGCCATTTAATGTATAGGAAGTGTCAAATTTTTTCTTGCCTTTGAAAAAACTAATAAAACAACATTTGTTGACATTCAGATAAAGCTTGTTGTCTGTGCACCAGCCCGTCAGCCTGTCAAGATCGTCCTGCAAAAGCCGTTGATCATCCATACAATTTATGATTCTATATGCTTTAAAATCATCTGCAAATGCCAGCCCGTCACTGTTCTCAAAACACTCAAATATGCTGTTAACAAAAAGATCAAAAAGCAAAGGAGAACAGTGGCCCCCTTGGGGAACTCCTGAGGTGACATTAATAGTATCTGATTGAAAAGAACCAATTTTGACCATCTGCAGGTGACCCGACAGAAAACTACTAGCCCACTTAACTGATTTGATACCAAAGCCCATATTGAAAAGCTTCTTTAAGAGTATCTGGTGGTCTACCCGATCAAAAGCTTTAGAAAAATCTGTATAAATCGCATCAACCTGATTGAAATTTTCTAAAGCAGAGATTATTTTATTTTGATATAGAAGCAAGTTGGTTGAGGTAGACCGGCCAGAACAAAAACCATGCTGATTACTATTTATCAGACTTCGACTAATCCACTTAAGCTGATCTCCCATTAAACTGTCAAATAGCTTTGCTATGGATGACTGTATACACACACTTCTGTAGTTGGTGACATTGTTTATTTCTCCACTCTTATATATAGGTACAATAAAACTGTGTTTCCATTTGTCCGGGTAGAAACAAGAATCTAAGGATCTCTTGAACAGGACATGCAATGGCTTGACTAATAAACATATAGACTTTTTTAGGATTATATTAGGTATTCCATCCGGACCTTTTGTATTTTTATTTGGGAGATTACATATCTTATTAAAAATATCTTCTATGGAAACATGAGAAAAATTGAAGCACTCGGAACTCACGTCAGACGTTTCAGAAACTATCCCCTCCAAATCAAGATTGCTAGGAGTGTAAACTGTCTCAAAATATTGTTTAAACAAGTCCACAATATCTTGGCCATTTTCCGCCAAACGACCATTATAAAACATTGATTGAGGAAGGGTGTGCGAACTTTTTAAGTTCCTTATGTATGTCCAGAAATATTTTGGATTAGCTTTAAATTCATTATCAACATTATTAAGGTATTGAGCCCAACATATTTCTCGAACCCTCTTACACTCCGAACGCAACCCTGAAAACCACACATAATCAAGAGGAGATTTAGAATTATTATAAGCTTTATGAGCAATCTTTTTCTGGAACGTAAGACTTCGAAGCTCTTGTGAAAACCATTTTGGAAATGTGCTTGTGTGATATTTTTTTAAAGGAACATATAGAGCAATACCCATCTCGAGAATTTCATAAAAAGAATCCAAAGCTAAATTAATCTCATTATGTGAAAGGCATTGCTCCCAGTTTATACTAGCTAGAAAATTGTTCAATCCCAGAAAATCAGCGTTACGGAAATCATGGTAGAGATCATGAAGCTGAAGGCCTTTACTTCCCTGACTTTTACCCATAATTAAACAGCATTCATAGCTAACATGATGTAAACTATTATCAAAAATAATATCCCTAGCTAAACTAACTACAACGTTGCTATCATTAGAAAACATCAAATCTAGGAACACATTTCTATGATTAGGAATATTAATACATTGAAAAAATTGCAAGAAACCAAAAGATTGAGCAACCTGAGTCAACTCTCACTCCAAATCCATCATTCGACCAACTTGCCTCAGGTAGATTGTAGTCACCAAAAATATACATTTTTTGAGATTTGCAAGACTCAAGAACATGCTCCACAGACTCACAGTGCATGTTGTAGTAAATATTTGGCATGTTGGGTGGTATGTATACCCCAGCAATCACAAATTTGTTCCCATGGAAGCTACATGCGACAAACAGCTGTTCTACATTGTGCTGGTTTATGTAAACTCTCATAGAGCTGATTGATTTCCTAATGTATATAAGTATACCACCGCCGCTAGATTTTTGACTAGTAAGATGAGACCGATCCAAGCGGAATAAATTAAAATCACAGCACTCTAGCTCACTGTCCATGAAGTTATCACATAAATTACTTTCGACTAGTACAATAATATCATATGAAGAACTATTTACTGCTAATTTCAGAAGCTCAATCCTTGTACGAAGGCCACTGACATTTTGATAGTATACCATTAATGGGAAGGTAGTTAGTTTTCCTGATTGCTTGCCTTTTTAGCGACTACCACTGGCATACCTTTAATATATCTGATGACTAGGTCTTCCCCTACATCCTTTCTTCTTGCAAGTTCTTCACGAGCTTCTTTGTAGGCAGCCTGCTGCATTTTTGTACAATCATATGCTATTTTGTAAGCACTGGACGCCAGTTTCTGTTTGCATCGAATGGCCTTTCTAATGATATCAGTATTATTGCATATTAACTTCAACGGTCTAGGCTTTCCATCAGCCCTTTTCTGACCCACACGGATGACTTTGCTAATAGCAGCAATTTCATCCTGGAAGCCAAGAGCAGTGAAGACTTCTTTTGCTATTTTCATGTCATACTCAATTCTGCTTTGAAGAATATTCTCAGCAGATTCTTGGGTACCAAATACCATTAAATTATTCGCTCTCATTGCGCGCTCACGTCCTTCTAACAAAATCTCTTCAATATTAGCAGCTGGTTTAGTTTTCAGATTTTGTATTTCAATTTTGAGAGTATCCACCTCTTTTTGCAGCTCTTTAACCCTCCTTATAACCATGGGGGCTGACTTAAATGCATCACGACACTCCGGACAGAGGAACATAAGTGTCCTCTTCAGAAGCACCACAGCTCTAACTTCCGAGGCAGAAAGCTCCGTGCAACCTTCTGTTAGGTGGAAAACAACTCTGCAGCAATCGCAAAAAATTTGCTTTTCCTCCGATTTAACCGTCAGGTTACACTTTGTACAGTTTAAGACAGGCATGGTTAACCTCTCTTTTTAGCTCTCAAGTTCAACTTTTTGCGTAAAAATTCAGCGTTTTTAGAGGTTAAGGTTGCAACCGTTTCGTTTTCTTGATTTTTGTGATTTACTGTCCATATTTGTAACTAAATTGATCTCAAGGCTATAAAAGCAACATTTTATACCTAATTTGTAACACTCTTTCTGTCGTTAGTGTCATTAGTTTTAAGTTTTAAAGTTTTATTTATTGCTAATTGTTGTTTTTTGTAACTAGATTTAAGATATTTTAAAGCACTCTCTCTCTCTTTTACTTATAATTACTATACCAATTGTGTTTGTAAGAGTAACCTAAATAAATAAATAAATAAAGCAAAAACAAATACAAATTTGTACAATCAAAATTCATAGAAATATTTCAAAATTTAGGAAAAAAATATAATTTTGACATACATATAAATTCTTCACTCCATGTGAATGTTGCGCCAAAATTCACGTATTCAGTACTTGCGCCAGTTATGTCAATTTTACGCTCATGAGAAGCTGGCATTAGTTTTTTTGCAGAAATGCGCTTGTGAAATAGGTTACTTTAGACACTAGGACGTAAATGTGTGGTATATTTTTGCAAATGGATGGCGTTATGATGTCAATATAGCCACCAAAGCTTAACTATACAACTGTTTTGAGTGGTTCTGGCTGTAACCAGAGTCCTTATTCTTGAAACAGGGGAGCAGCGTTCCTGGGAGAACGAGTATTCCGTCTTTGTTCCTTATATTATCATTTTCATATCATTGAGAAAGACGGAACACTCGTTCTCCTGGGAACACTGCTCCTCTGTTTCAAGAATAAGGACACAGATCTGTGGCCGGATCCTCGGGCCAGGGAGTAGAGCTCCCCGATAGAACGAATGTTTTGTCCTTGTCAACGTTATCGAAAAGTGAACAAGAATGATAAAGACGAAAAATTTGTTCTCTCGGGGAGCTCTACTCCCTGGCCCGAGGATCGGCCACCTGAAAAGAAACCCAAACAATAGGGCATTCCAACGAACTGTCAAAAATGGTGGCTACCAAAAGTTAGCTAGGGCAGACAAATGTTGAAGTGCGCAAAAATATTGATAAAATGCCTGCATTCTGTTATGTAGTGAAATGAAGTAGTAGGGGAGAACGCGACAAATTTTATAAAATATCATCAAAACTGAATCGAGAACATCCTGATAAAGTTAAACAAACAAATTAGAAGACAATGCTGGGGTCTAAATGCAATCAAACGTGAAGATTTAACTGGCAGTGGGTTAAAATATGCTCTAGTTTGTTCGAGATATATTTATATTAGTACTTATCATCAAGTATCAATACGTTAGAGCAAATGAGCAACTATTATCATAAAAAAATGTATATTAAAATGACGCGTGTTCGATTATGTGATGCGACACGACACAATCGAATTGTGTGCCCTGACTGTTTTTATTTTGTTGGAATGCCCTATAAATTTTGCCCAATAAAGAAATTATCTGTATTTGGAAATAGGATTAGCGGTAGTTTCTGGCTCAAAGGAAAGCGCTTCTGATACATGACAGCGCTCTAGTCTAGGACCTAAATGGCTTTCAGGGGGATATGAGGAGTAGCTTCAGCATTTAGGGATTGAAAAATTAAACAGAAAACTTCTTGTTAGCATCAGCATCTGCAAAGTGAAAATACATCCCTTTCTTTCATGCTTTTATGTGTGAATGGAACTTGCAAGAGTAAGGTTGGGATACTTTAATTTCTAGAAAAATTACCTTCAGGGTTTGTTTATATCCTAAACAGTATTTTCCCGATTTCATAACCAAAGCCAAACGGCTGTTGATACTTTCGATCGCCTTTTTCTGTTTCTTTTGGGCTACCATCGTGCGTGCCTGGAAACAAATGGTCACATTAACATCATAATAAACACAAAACCGACGGTATTTGATGAAAAATTGTAATGTAAATATGTTAGTAATTAATATTGCGGTACCTATATTATATTAAAATGGTTTAAATACTCAAAAATTGAGAAAAATTACCTTAGTTTGCCTTACACGTGCTAAAAAGTGTATGGGACACTCTAAAAAGGAATTTTTGACAGAATGACTTTGACAGCTTTCATCAATCATATGACAATTACCAAATGAAGTTTGGTGGTTTGACGTTTAAGAACTAGGTTCAGCTTGCGCACTCCGTACACTAAAGTACTCCATAGAGATTAGCCCGGTAATTCAGTCTGTTTTTTTTTAAAAGATAATTCCCCAAGTCAAAAATTTAGTAACTATGTTGGCAACACAAACCTTTTCTACATAAAAAAATTGAAAGCATTGACAATTTTACATTAGTTGTATTCCTTTCACACCTAGGAGGAGCTCCGGAACAGCTCCGGGGCTTCACGCGCTTATTCCTTTCGAAAAATGTTTGTTGCACCACGCATATGTTCCCTGCAAATCGGGGGCGACTAAGCACCGAAGCGAGTAACTCGAGTGTTTCAAGCTCTTGAAAGGAATACAACTATTGTATTGCCAACATAATGTTATTTTGACTTTTATCTTTAAAAAAAGCAGACTTTAGTTGTATTCCTTTCAAGAGTTTAAAACACTAGAGCTATTAGCTCCGGTGTTACAGCGATTTCCATTTGTCAAACCAGTGCAAAAAAAATGTATCCATATCATCACATGTTACATGAGGTGGGTTCGGCTTGCTCACTGCTCACTGCGTGCACTCCGAGTGACTCCATTCGCACTCCAGCCGTTCGGGTTAAGGTTCGGGTATTGCTTTTTACCGTATTAGGAGTGGGGTGACTCCATTAGCTCTGTTCACTCCACTCCAACTCCGTGCTGAATAGCCGGACTCAGCTATGCTTTTAGGAAAAGATGGGGATACACTGAGTGCTCACTGATTGACAAATGAAAATCGCCATTAGTCGACCCCGATTTGAAAGGAACAAGTCGTGTTCCTTTCAAGAGCTTGAAACACTAGAGCCACTCGCTCCGGTGTTAGTCGACCCCGATTTGAAAGGAACAGATGCGCTGGCTTTCATAGTCCAAGAGCCGGCAATACTAACGGGTATGTGATCGTTGCAATGGATAATTTCTATATAAAACAATAGTTCATAGTAACATTTAAACCAAATGGATGGGCTGCCTCGATTCTCATGGCCGTAAAGTTGTTTTATGAAAAGATACTTCAAGAACGATAAGCGCAACAAATAAGAAGTACCTTGCGGTGTAGGGGGTTCTCATCATATGCGGCAAACACTTTATTAACACAATTTCATGTTTCTTTTTTGACCTACAGCCATATGCAAAATTCTCTTCACAGAGTCCTCTAACAAACACTTTTCGGAAGGAATAAGCGCGTAACGCCCCGGAGCTCATCCTAGGTGTAAAAGGAATACTATTGACGGGTGCTTGGCTCAAGCTCCGATTTTTGACAGTTGTGACTTGAGCCAAGCAGGGACCCGGACCGAAATGAAATATCGGTTCCGTTCCGGTTCCGGTCCACAGCGTCATGACAAATATCGGTTCCGTTACGGTTTCGGTTCGAAGAGAAATATTTCGATTCGGTTAGGACCAATAATTTCGGTCTTAACGGTTCATACCGGTATAGTTTTTCACAAATATATAATGGCCATTTGCACTGACCATTTCAAGAAGCATCCCTTAAAACGGTCGGTGTAAACGGTCATAACAGAAAAAAATATGTTTCTGTAATTTGTGTTTTTTTTTTTTTAATTTCTATGCCTATCTGCAACAACTTTAATAATCATAATAATTAATATTAATAAAATAGGTCTGTTTCTGCAGAAATCACAAACCAGTCAGAGTGAATTTTATTGGTATATAGTTTTCTGACTGTTTCTGACTGTTTTCAACCAATGAAATTTACTCTCTGACTAGATATATTGTGATTTCTGCAAAAGCAGACCTTAATAAATTTTTGTGTTTTCGATCAGGGATGACGTAGACAGCGTGTCGTTTCTCGCCTTGACGTAGTGATTGCTCCATGAATTAGGAGGTGGTTTCTCGCGTCTACACGCGTCTTAAAGTTTTGAACCATTTTCCAAAACTGGTTCAAATCAGTTTCACAATGATGTCATAATTTCTCGGCATAAGGAAATAGTTTCAAAACGCGGATTGGATTGTATTTCGAAACGGTTTAGAACCATAGTACATTATTTTATGTTCTAAAACAACCCTTGTTTAGATCTTATTTGCATCTTCCTCTTGTCTATTATGTTAATCAAAATTAAATTAATATTTTTCAATTTTTCATCATACATGTATATTCGTAACTACGACTGCTGGCGCAAACCGCTAATGAGACCGTTGATGACGTCGACAACGGTGCAACACCATATGAACTTGATTCCAAAAATCGAAGCCGATGAGCAATCCTATAGTAGTATGTAAAATCCTTGGTGTAGCCTAGCCGAGTTCAGAAATGCGCGCTGTCCAATGTCCAACGCTCTGTTTTTTAAAGTGGTAATTTTATTATCATACAACCAAACAGCAAACAGCTTAATTCATAAAATCTTGGAACCGAAAAATACCGGTGAGAACCGATTAATTTATATCGGTTCCGATTCTGCCTGCCCTACAACATTTCTATGAAATATGGGTTTCGTTCCGGTTCCGGTCCGCAAAAAAAAAACGGTTTCGTTCCGGTCCGGGTTCCTGGAGCCAAGACGCAACCTTGAGCGTCGACTGAATACGGGCCGAGACTTTGACTGTTCGGTAGTGCGTTCAAGGACGGCAATGCTAATGCCAAAACCTACTTTTCCCCTTCTACCGGCGATGCCAAATCAAATCTGGTGTGAATTTGCTGGTACGCCAAATACCGTTTCTGGAGCCGAACTTGAACGCAATATGCCAATTTTGGCTTGGCTTTAGCCATTTTGAAAGCAGCCTGGCTATATAAATGAGTATTTTTTGCGAAACCAGAGAATTTGAGTAAGTAAATAGAGCTGACTCCAAAAGTTCGACCCTAGGGCGCGTTCAACATTGAACAATCCGGTGCAGAGCGTTACCCGGTATAGGGTATACACTCTTATTAAAAAAAAAACTATAGTGTGCCTGTCTATTCTGGCAATACGGTCAAGACGCGACGCAACGCAAAAGCATTCCCTTCTTTGAATTATTTCATATATTATATGGAGATTGAAGAATGACTAGATGATGACGAATTATTTTCAAACGATACTTTTAAACAAGGATAATACACATTACCACACAGCTTTAATAATACTTGCTCATCAGCCATCGGCCTCGATTTTTGGAATCAAAGTCATATGTGTTGCACCGTTGACGACGTCATGAACGGTGTCGTGGGCCGTTTGCACCAGCGGTCGTACATTAGGAATATTTCATACGATGAAAAATATTATTCAATTTTGATTCATACGTTCATACGAAGCTACAGGATGGTGTAGTTGAGCAAATCATGATGCTTATTTAGGGTTGCCAGACGTCCCGATTTTAACGGGACAGTCCCGATATTAGAGATTTTGTCCCGTGTCCCGATGGACTATACGTCGGGACGCTAAATGTCCCGATTTCACGAAATTCTTTTAAAAGTTAAAAAATTAAAGGTTTAGGTACTTATTTTTGAATTGTATCAACGATTGTACCTACTTGTTAACCTCGATGAGTTTGACTTTATCAGTCAGAAAACTAGTTTCACTGTGAGTTTCACTCAATGAAATTTACTCTGACTGGTTTGTGATTTCTGCAGAAACAGACCTATTGATAATCACTGTATGTGGTGGATCTGTTAGAAAATTTATCTACAAAGCATAAGTAGTCTATTTTGTGAGACATCATACTGTCTCTGGAGTCTGGAGATATCCAGGTTCTTTTTCTGTTGGTGTAAAATAATGGAATTTTTGTCCATTTCGATTCTTACTAATAAAAGGTGAACATTTTTGGAAATAATTTAGTTTGGGATTGTTTCATATTTTCCATTTTATCCAGATTTCAGCCCCAATTTGTCCAGTGCTGACATAGACCTCTCTTTCTTTCTGTGGAACATTTCTCAGTTTATTTTTAAATTTTATTAGAAATTTTATTGTTCAGTAAAATTTTTATATCAAAATATTCCTCAAAAAAAAGCGTCCCGATTTTTATCAAAGTCCCGATTTTTTAATAGCTTTTAGATTGGTATACCCGATTTGTAGATATTTCAATCTGGCAACCCTATGCTTATTGTATGTATTTACATTCATCAACCTTGTAAATATGTGACGTCATGAGAAGTCCTATTTATAGTGTTTATTAGTTTATTCACGACTTGTGTTTTTAGAATTATTTACTTAATTCAAATATCACAAAGAATCAATGAAGTTGAAAGAAGGTTTGGAATGGGCTTTGCGTCATTCAATTGATTCCAAAATAAGATAGCGCTAGCAAGGACAAAAAATCTATTGGATCTCCCACTCTAACCCAGAGTGAGATAGCGCTAGTAAGGGCAGGAAAATGTCACCGATCTCTCACTTCAATGTTGGCTGTAAATATAATGTATTGAGTAGATAGTCAAAGGGCTATTCCAACCTTCTTTCTACTTCATTGCAAAGAACACAAATATTGGCTACAGCAAGTTGTGGGTATACACAAGTTCAGTAACATATTGATATCCAAATATTTTTCAGTAATTTCCTTAACCAAACAAAACATTCCATAATACTACATACGTTTTCCAAATACAATGGTGGTATACCTATAACAAATAAGAAAATTATAAATTTACAAAAAAAAAAGCACCAAATACCTAATTAATTCAAAAAAGAAAACGGAAAAAATTATTTTTTTGATAGCTTAACAATCTTTGAAACATTAAAATAATATATTTCATTCTTTTACGCTTATGACTTATAATATCTTTCCTATATGGAGGATACAGCTCATAAATATCCACATCATTAAATTTCAAATTGAGTATTTGATTGACTCCTAAATTCAATATACAAGGCTCATCTTCTTCATTATTTCCTACTTCACATACATCACATTCCATAAGCACAACTCCATATTCAGTCCAAGTTTTTCTATATTTGAACTGCACAATCTCCTCAGCATTATCCAAAGGACTATCTATGTCTTTATATTTTTCGTGATGCCATATTTTCACTCTTGATTTTTTAAATTTTATAATTTTTGGAATCGGACCGCGAGTCCTCCTTTTTTGTATGTTTTCTTCCTCTTTGGAGGTTGATGATACGAATTGATGAATGAATATTGACCACTGCTTTCTTGAAAATTTTTGTTTTTTTCAATGGGAAGATTCAAATGTTCCTTCAACAGATTCAATAACTGTGACGTCGCTGCAGACCTCAACTCTTGGCAGAAAATGCATTATCCGAGTCCAAAAAACGAATTAATAAACGCATCGCCTTTTCTAAATTTAAAATTCCCAAGAAAATTAGCTCACAACACAGTCTGAATCGCAAGCATTCCATCAAGGTCTGCGGGTGACGTTACCACTATCAGCTGCTGATAGTGGTGACGTCACTCGCAGACCTACTGCCGACTCGAGAATTGGCGAATGTATGCCTTATTAGGATAAGCAATCCTACGGATAATGAAAACGAGGTTCAGCTTTCAGGAATACCTGCTAGAAAACGGGTAAAACAAGGATACAAGATTTAATAATAAAATTTCTATCTCTTAGAGCCGTTTTACACGGCAAAGTTTCTTCACGAAATTATTGCCGAAATATTTCGTAAGTTTACTAATCTTGGTTTCGCTTTTTCCTGTTTGACACGGCAAATAAAAGTCTAGCAAAAGTTTCGTGGAAATATTAGTCATACGCAGGCGCAGTTGCGTTTTGCCATCAATAATATCAAATCATAACCTCATACTTTGATAAACCAAAACAAATAAAACTTCCGTTTTCTAATTGTTGTTGAATCTTTGTACCCTCCTGCAGTTTCATAAAGTTGAATTTGTTTTTTCCTTCCATAAATAAAGTTTTTTTTTTTTTATTTTATTTGCCCAGCTGTTTTTGGGTGCATTACTTTTTTCACCGATGAGCAGTCTATCCTTATCTATTACTACATAAGAAATTCAATGACGCATTCATAGGCTCCACGAAAAAGAAACTGCCTTTTAGTGTGCGCCGAAACTCACGCATATTTTCGGCCACGCCCCCAAAAACTATAGAACATTTTCTAATGTTTATTCGTGAAATATTTCGTAAGTTTTTCTTGTCGTGTAAAACAGGAAAAGTTGACTTACGAAATATTTCGGCAACAATTTCGTAAGTAATTTCGTGAAGAAACTTTGCCGTGTAAAACGGCTCTTATGGATGTAAAATCATATCACTAACTATGAAAGAAAATTGTTGTGCAATATTGTGCATTATTTTCTTACAAGCAATTTTAAGTCTCACGATTTCTCGCGATTTTTCTTTCTCGATTCTCACGAATTTTTTAAATTTCATCTGGCAACACTGGGCGCAACATCGTTCTAGTGTGGACGCATTTTTTCGCGAACGAAACAAATAATAACCAAAAACAAGCAACGCGCACACTGAAATAAAATAGGCACACACGCGTTGAGCAAGAACGAACGGCACACAACACAAATATTTATGTCGGTCAAGATGCCAAATTTGCGCCGCAAAAATTTGTGGCGTATCCCGAATTCAACGCAACGCATTTATTTACTAATCTGGACGCGGCTTAAGGGCCACACCACAACACGTGACAACACAGCAGAGCCGCTTTCCAGTATGGGAGTTTGACGCCCGGAGCTACTCGGGGCGTTGAGCCCCCGAGCTGTACGTACGCGTCAACCTGTCAGCTGTCACATCCGTGGGTGGCTATTTATTTATTTATTTCTTCAATTTCTTGTTATATCTCAAGATTGAACATTTTAAAAAATATAGTTTTGATTATCTTTCATTTATGATAAATAAAAAAACAAACTGCACAAGATAATTATTTTTGAAATTTGACATATTTGACACTTAGACGGGCGTCTCAGGTCATGATACTGGAACGGTACAAATCTAGTGCGTGGCGCCCCCGAGGTGCTCTGGAGCGCGCCAATGTGCATACTGGAAAGCGGCTCAGTATGCACATTGGCGCGCTCTGGCGCGCTCCAGAGCACCTCGGGGGCGCCACGCACTAGATTTGTACCGTTCCAGTATCATGGCGTGAGACGCCTGTCTTAGTGTCAAATATGTCAAATTTTAAAAATAATTATCTGTTTGTTTGTGCAAAATTGTTATTTTATTTATCAAAAATGAAAGAGAATCAAAACCAATATCAAAACTATATTTTTTAAAATGTTCAATCTTGAGATATAAAAAGAAATAAATAGATAAATAGCCTCCCACGAGTCCCACGGATGTGACAGCTGATAGGTTGACGCGTACGTACAGCTCGGGAGCTTAACGCCCCAAGTAGCTCCGGGCGTCACACTCCCATACTGGAAAGCGGCTCAGGTAAATTAGTGACAACAGTGACAGCTTACCTCGCCCTCACTGCATCGCCGTATTTTTATGAACGCGCTCCAGCAGAATGTCCCTAACCTAACAAACAAATCTTTTGTTTGGTTTTAGGTTTGTTTTGTTACTTGATTTTCTTGCTAGTTCTGTTTCTGTTACTTATTTTCCTTCTAGTTCTGTTACGTTACGTTACATGAAATTGATAGTTATATTTCTCATCATGCACTAGTGTTTGTTCTATGCTATCTATTGAATATGTGAACATTATGGAAAACTTTCTGTGAAAAAGCTAAAAACATGGCGAAACGTAAGCTATTTTCAATTTGCGAAAAAGAAAATAACACCAATACAGGACGAGTTATATGGAATTTATCTACTGAAGAATCTAGTGTGGATACAAGTAGCAGTGAATATTTGCACGAAAAGGGCACACAGTTATCTCCGAGTCTATCGCCAATCATTTTTGTCAGAACAAAAAAACATTCATGTTATAATTCAACAGATGATATAGTTGATTATGGCTTTGAATCGCCACTTATAAAGATAAGATCCATCGACTTATGTAGTATTTCACCTGAGTTAACTCAACAAATTGTTTTACCTGGCCAAAGAACACCAGAAAAATCTGATTCACCTCCAAATCTTCCGATTTCACCTATCATTCAAAGAGGTAATTTTAGACTGAAGAAAAAAAGAAGAACAAGACCTGAATTAGAAGAATTATCACCAGAATTATTTGTTAAACGGCCAGGATTTGTAGAAAATGATTCTGTAAGCACTCATCAAGTGTCAGTTATTGAATCTGTTGAAGGAACATTTGAATCTCCCATTGAAAAAGACAAAAATTTTCAAGAAAGCAGTGGTCAATATTCATTCATCAATTCGTATCATCAACCTCCAAAGAGGAAGAAAACATACAAAAAAGGAGGACTCGCGGACCGATTACAAAAAATTATAAAATTTAAAAAATCAAGAGTGAAAATATGGCATCACGAAAAATATAAAGACATAGATAGTCCTTTGGATAATGCTGAGGAGATTGTGCAGTTCAAATATAGAAAAACTTGGACTGAATATGGAGTTGTGCTTATGGAATGTGATGTATGTAAAGTAGGAAATAATGAAGAAGATGAGCCTTGTATATTGAATTTAGGAGTCAATCAAATACTCAATTTGAAATTTAATGATGTGGATATTTATGAGCTGTATCCTCCATATAGGAAAGATATTATAAGTCATAAGGGTAAAAATATAAAATATTATTTTAATGTTTCAAAGATTGTTAAGCTATTAAGAAAATAATGTTTTCCGTTTTCTTTGAATTAATTAGGTATTTGGTGCTTTTTTTTTGTAAATTTATAATTTTCTTATTTGTTATAGGTATACAACCATTGTATTTGGAAAACGTATTATGTAGTATTATGGAATGTTTTGTTTGGTTAAGGAAATTACTGAAAAATATTTGGATATCAATATGTTACTGAACTTGTGTATACCCACAACTTGCTGTAGCCAATATTTGTGTTCTTTGCAATGAAGTAGTAAGAAGGTTGGAATAGCCCTTTGCCTATCTACTCAATACCTATATTTACGGCCAACATTAAAGTGAGAGATCAGTGAGATTTTCCTGCCCTTACTAGCGCTATCTCACTCAGGGTTAGAGTGGGAAATCCAATAGATTTTTTGCCCTTACTAGCTCTATTTTATTTTGGAATCAATTGAATGACGCAAAGCCCATTCCAAACCTTCTTTCAACTTCATTGGTTCTTTGTGATATTTGAATTAAATTAAGTAAATAATTCTAAAAACACAATTTTTCTTTTATTGACCAAACAACTCTTTGTATAAAGAGAGCTAAAGCATTTATAATAAACTAATAAACACGTTAAACAGGACTTCTCATGACGTCACATATTTACAAGGTTGATGAATGTAAATACATACAATAAGCATCATGATTTGCTCAACTACACCATCCTGTAGCTTCGTATGAATCAAAATTGAATTATATTTTTCATCATATGAAATATTCCTAATGTACGACCGCTGGTGCAAACAGCCAAGGACACCGTTATTGACGTCGCCAACGGTGCAACACATATGACTTTGATTCCAAAAATTGAGGCCGATGACTGATGAGCAAGTATTATTAAAGCTGTGTGGTAATGTGTATTATCCATGTTTAAAAGTATCCTTTCCGGGACGCGAAATAGCACTCTGGGTGTGAGAGTGACCCTAGAGTATCTCTAAACCGTTTATAAATTAACAGGTGCTTACTCGGTGTGTTACGGCGGAATCGTTCAGAAATCGAGAGTTAACGTGACAGAGTGCGCCCAAATTACCCCACTCATGGACTGGGTTGAAAAACGCCCCGCGGTTTTTTACATTGGTTTTTACCGGGTTTGACTCCTTGGAATATAAAACTACAGAAAGGAGCGTTTTCTATCTGTCACTACAGACAACGCAGGGACGGAAACGGCCATATTGATCCTCCAAGTATGAACTCATCATTTGTTTTGGTCGTTCGCTGTGTCCTCATTCAATTGAATGTTTAATGGGTTTTAGCATTTTTAAGTGATAATAAGCACTGGGATTAGTGAGAAAAGAGTGAGTCATAATATTGACAATCATATTTAAATAAATATACGTCATTGCCAAACCGGAAATACTAGTCGGCCATACGCAACCAATGAACTATAAACTACACGTAAATACCTGGAATGGCACCGACCGTTGTCGGATATTAGTGCGTCCAAAGAAAGCTATATAGTGGGGGATACCTTTCCCTCTCTATTTCATTGCTGTTAGGTTTGGTGTATATTCCTAACCTCAAATATCATATTTTTTAGACAAGGAAAGATTTTCATAATTGGTCCATAAGGTAAATAGAGATAGGGATCCCCCACATTCTCCATCTCAATTTGCCGCATTTTAGAGATAGGCCGGGCCATTCCAGATACGTGTAGTTTATAGTTCATTGTATGCAACCTCCACATATTTTGGTCGCGCAGATTCGAAGTTATGCTCCTTCCTGTAGTTTTATATTCAAAGGTTTGACGTGATTCATGACAATGACATTCACCGCAACGCCCTAAATATGTTCAGAAATAGCGAATCCAGAGTGTACTCCAAGTGATGACGTCAATCACTCTAACAAACAACTACTCTACCTTCACACTCCAATTCAATACGCACTCCTGGACTCTGGCCATTTTAAGGCCTGTGTGGAACAAATCTGAAATCATGTCCCCTGGGTCAACTCTAACTCTGGACTAACTACCTATATTGTTAAGTTGAAAGATGTTTATCCAAGCTTTTTTAACCCAGGGAGATTCCGGAAGCGGATTTTTAGTTATATTTAGGGTATTTCACATTATATTTTAGTGATTTTTATCAAATGTCATACCATACACAGGTGACAGTAAAATGTGACAGAGGATAAAAACTCGCGCAAAAGTTGAAAATAAAGTCTGTTTTTTTTTAAGATAATTCCCCAAGTCATTGTATTGCCAACATAATGTCACTTTGACTTTTATCTTAAAAAAAAAACACATTTTAGTTAACTTTTTTGCGATATCGCAAAAAGTTGACATGTCCCCGCTGCGGGACAAATTAAATTCCGCGTCCGCAACGCGATTTTCCGCTCTAAGCGAAAACGTGCGAAGAAGTCGACGTAGTCAAAATCGTCAAAGGATTTGACCGCAACCTTATGTGATAGATGCGCCGCTCATTCTTTCTAGGAATTCTAGAACATCTCGATCATCAACACTGAAATGTAAAGTGCGTTTTTTTTTAAAGATAAAAGTCAAACTGACATTATGTTGGCAATACAATATAAAATTGTCAATGCTATCAAATTTTTCATGTAGAAAAGGCTTGTGTTGCCAACATAGTTACTAAATTTTTGACTTGGGGAATTATCTTTAAAAAAAAAACAGATTTTATTCTTCCATCTCATCACAACAATATCAAAATTTAAGCCAAAACTGCCACTTAAAAAAAAAACAGAAAATAACAGAAAATGTTGAGGTTAACCCAGGCTCAAATACGCTAACTTGCCGTGAGAGCGCGGGTTAACTTTTTCCTGGAATAACTTTCCAGTTAGCGTTAGCAGTTGACCCTGATGGATAAACACTTGTCACAACTTTGACCCAAGGTTTTCCTTAATTCATGGGTTAACCCTCTATTGATAAACCGGCCCTTAGGGCGGCAGGCTTGCGGCGGGTAGGTATTATAAAACTAAATACCCGCTCTTGCTACCAAGTTTTTTACAATTTCATACGTTGTATGATACGTTGGTCCACCAATTAAAGTAATGAAATAGCTCAATTTTTGTTCCATTTGGTACCTCGTTTAGTATAAAATTTATAAAAAGATGGTTCATTCGGTCCGGCTATAAGGCTCGTACACACCCGTAGATGTGTTCAGCAATACACAACAATTATGAACTAGTTTGAGGTCTGCTTATTCATAGCCGGCTTGAATCATCTCTGTCCGATAACGAAGTGCTCTAACATTCTGAGCACCTCACTTGTAGTCTGTAGCTCAGACAAATGTCCGGTTCTCTCTCAATCGCAATTATTCTGCTGCAATCAGAACAGCTCTTAGTTAAAAGACTAATGAGATGACACGATGGTTCTGTGGGAATATTTTGTTTCATTGCTTCTGCATTTTCCATGCAAAGTGCTCGTTTATGTTGATTTATTCTAGCAGCGAGGTCGGCCCTAAGTCTTGGGCAGTCCTATCCCTATCGAATCTTTAAGTTCTGTATTCTTTATGGAGTCTTATACTTATTATAGGGTCCTATCCCAGACAGCACACGTTGTCCAATGGATGTCCAGTATTGGTCCAAATTTGAAAAATTGTCCATGGATCGTTTATGGACATCCCATGGATGCCAATTTTGCTTAAGCCAACGGACTAAAAAATAATTTTTTCCGATGGACCTCCATTAGCTGTCTAAAAGAAATTTTGAAGATCATTATATGTCCAATGTTTCTCATTTTTTATGAAGCCATTGGACTGGAAATTTGATATATCCATGGGATGTCCATGCTTTGCAGAAAAATGTGTCTCTTTATTTTTAATACAAATGGACATCCAATGGATCTAATAAATTTGCATTCCTATGGCTTTACAAAAAAGATAATCATTTGGATATTAGTTTTGTTTGAAGCAACGGACTAGAAAATAAATTTGTCCAATGGATTTCCATTTAAAAGATCCATGTTTTGCAGAAAAATGTCTCTCCATGTTTTTCAGAAAAATATCTCTCTATTTTTCTAACAAAAATAGGCACCCCATATAATTTATATGCATCTACTAGACGTAGACTAGACAGGAGCAGAGTTGTTCTTGAGGAATTTTCGAGTGTGCCTGCAGCAACACTCAAATAGTGCCAAATAGTGCCACCTTAATAAGAAATGATGGGAGAGGATTTTTTGACTTTTTACCTACCCTTTTTTTGACTTTTTCCCTTTTTATCACATGATTAAAAGGGAAAAGATATATATATTTCATATATTTATTAAATTCACTATAATGACAATTGACAGTCACGTCACTGTCACTAGTCACACACACATCGACAGATCCAATGACCTGACAGCTCCACCACAATTCTCACAGGTCACGACCGAGGTCACTAGCACAAAGAAAATGAACAAAATGTACAAAAGAATAGAAATAAACAAAAAATCCTGCACTAGCTCCAGTCTTTCTTATCTTAAAAATTTGAAAAAGTATAATATCTAATGAATGTGAATCGTGCCAAATTTTTCAAAGTGGTGCCACCGTGCATTTTGCGTGCGAAAAGTGCCACTTTTGGCACAATTGTGCTCTTTGAAAAACACTGGACAGGAGGATCGAGGCGATTTCGATTTGACCGCCCGTATGTAGGCACGATTTTTCCCTGTTTAATTCAAATTCAAATTCAAAATGTGCTTTATTGTGTAAATATAAATATTTGTTCACAAAAGCTGATCCTATGTCTAGAAAATGAAGTACACAGCTGTAGTAAGAGAAAATATCCAAATGTATACCTACTTAAAATAAAAAAGCTCACAAAACATTTAAGAAAATAAAAATCAGTCATAAAAAATAAAACTTAAAACTAAGAGTCACACAAATAAAACTTAAAAAACTCAAAAACTGTTTCTATTCAAGAACCAGAGAAATAATTTAAAATATATAATTTAAAAGAACAACATTTTTTACATTGAGGGCGATAAAACGTCATTGTATAAAACTCATATTAAATACGAATAGCAGGGGTAACAAAAACGGATAAAAAAAGAAATGACATACAAGACAACACAAAATCAAAAATCATTGAAAAATCAAAAATCATTGAAAAAGTCTTCAATACTATAATAAGTTTCCGCAAGCAGCAGTTTCTTGACCTCCTTCCTAAATTTAACTGGAGTGAAAATTGATCTTATTGAGTGTGGTAAGTTATTAAACATTTTCTTGCCATTATATATAATTGACTTTCTTACCAATTCCGAAGAGGGAATTGGGAGAGAAAGTTGATGTTGGTGTCTAAAATTATACGCGCGTTCAGCCCCTAACTGATCTTTAAATTTCTTGTGTACAAGACACACACTCTCCAGGATAAACATAGCGATGGAAAGGTCAAAATTCTATTGTTTGAAAATAAAGGCCTACACGAGTCCCGCATTCTGGCCCTGAACAAATATCTGATAGCTCGCTTTTGCAAGACAAACACACTCTGAAATAATTGTCGGGAACAAGTACCCCAGAAACAAACACCGTATCGCAAATGAGATTCAATCAGGGCGAAGTAAGCATT